CCTCTATCGCACTCGCGTAGAAACGACGTGCAAATAAATTTGACGTTCGTTTTCAAGGTCTCTTTATCAGGACGCAATTTATGTGAATTTGTAATATGAGCAGAATCTAGGTCTGTGTTTACGTCATACAATGTTAAATTTTTTTTTTTTTATTAACAATAGACTTAATGTTGGTTTATAAAAGCCCTCAAAGACTGACAATTTAAAAAAAACAAACAACAAAAAACAAAACTTTTAAGCTGTTCCCTTGTATGCATCTGTCCAAAGGGACTGCAGCCCCTCCCCCCCCCCCCTTCCCCACCGTCGGACCAAACATAAATTTAAAAACCGTATATAGAATATATACCCCCAAAGGCCCCCCCCCCCACACACACATAAATTTTGCTATTAAGTAATACGTACCATATATTTTTTATAGAAACAAATTGAAAATGTTAAAGGTTAGTTTTATTTTTTGCCCCTACACTTGAACCCTCAGCGTAACCTGCATGAGAGGAATACCATGGCCTGGGTCACTGCACTGCACTTTCACGGCTCCTGTCGCGGTTTTTTTTTTGGGTGGCGTCTTTTCATTTTGTTACTAAACACACCGTGACGGTTAACTTTGTGTGTGTGTGTGGGGGGGGGGGGGATGGGGGGGGATTTATACCTGGGGCATTCCGGTGATCGTAAAAATGAAAAATCATAGCTCTAGTGAATTACCGGTAATTTTTTTTCTTACAAGTGCAAGACATTTTATTCTGACGCTTTCACTAAACAAAAGTCGAACAAAAAGCCAAGATAAAAACTTGCAATCACAGAGAACCAAGATACCAACATGCGATCACTAACAGAACAACTAAGATACCAACATGCGATCACTAACAGAAACAAGATACGAACTTAATGGACAAGAACCAAGATACGAATATCACAAACAATCACAAACAAAGAACCAAGATACCAACATGCAATCACAAAGAACCAAGATACGAATATGCAATTTAGGACGGTAACCATGATATGAAAATGCTCTCATAAACTGACAAGAAGATACGAACCAACAGCTATAAATGTCATACGCGACACCGTGTATATCAAGAAACATTCTTTTAATTTTAGTGCCCATATTCGCTGCTGGTCCTCGGCGCCCCCCCCCCCCCCCCCCCCGGACACTGCGGATCTCAAATCTCTAATGAGCATAATCCCTGTTTTCGAATCACAAGACAGGAGCACTTTAGCTTTGTTACATAACCTCGGGGTGTAATTATCTATTTCCGTCCCAACGTGATGCTATTTTGCGTTGTTGATTTATCTTCTATTTTTCTTTTGTTCTTGTAATTTTCATACCCAGTTCTTTTATTATAGTTCTTTAGTTTGTTTGTTTTTCTAGTTTTCTTGTTGTAGTTTTATGCATTATTTTTTTATTTGTTTAATTTTTATGTTCTAATTTATGTTTTAGTTTATATATTATCGTGCTATGTGCAGGGACTGATTCTACACAGTGGAGTCCCCGCAATACTATTTTTCCTCCCCCATCTGTCTGTACATTTTATCTTAAAAATTCCTTAATTACAATAAATTAGTGATTATTTTTATAAATGTGTTTACACACGAAACCAGTAATTGAGAATGACAAAGGACAGAGTATTTTAGATAGCTGTGTTTGGCATACCATTTCCGTGTTGATGTTAAAAATTTAGATTTAAAATTAACAACCCCACACTCTAAAAAAACGTTTTCTTATAAACTTGTCGTGGGGCCCATGAAACCCGCGGAGCCCTGAGGTCACGACCTCATCGGACCCCGTGGTTAATCCAACAGTAGCCTGCGTGCCACGTAACGGAATGTTCCTCCCCCCAGCAACTCCCCAGTTCCCAGCGTCTAGATCCAGTGATTTGTAACCGAACCCAGGTGACGCCAGCCAGCTCCTGTATCCAGGGGACCACTTTACCTGCCATAATACCTGTACATTGCATTACCTGTTTCGTTTCAATTGACATTTTTTTTTACAGTCGTACACGTCTCAGGTTTCATACGGTGACTCACCTCCACCCCCACCCCTCGCGCTAAATCCTACCTGTCGCCGTGTATTCACAATGTTATCAAGCTTTTTTCCCCCTTCTTGTTGTCCAATATTTACCATCGACTTTCTACGAATTAAAAAAAAAGTACATTAACCCCCCTCCCTCTGTTTGTATTCTGATGACGTCACGTCTCGAGAACTTAACCCTACCTGAGGTTTACCTAGTCTCTATCACTGTCATTGATTAATTAACTGGCCAGCTCAATAGGTCACGTAGTCTTAGCGTTAATATTGAGTTATAACGGTTTCTTTTTTTACCTTCTAGAGGTGTGTGTGTGAAATTGTTCACGGTTAGAAAATGTATTCGGAACTAAAATAAACTTTTTTTTAACGGTATTTAAAGGTCTTATGACACATTGACTGTGGTCGGCAGTGATGTAGTTCAGTGGGATAGGGGGCTTTGGAGAGTTATTTTTTGAAAAAAATGTTTGGGACCGGAAATTATATATACATATATACACATATATACTTATATAGTATGTCTATAATATACGCATAAGCTAATTCCATTGTTCGCGACCTGAAATAAATATTTACTGCAAACAAAAGATATAGATAACTAAGTAGCCTGCATTTAGTTACGTTACTTATAAGGTATGCATTCGTTTCTTTAATAAAAAGGGGAAAAAGTCTACAAACCACGATAAAGAAACGCAGTTATTCTCGTTTCTCCCTCATCCCGGCGCCCCCTTCCCTTTATAGTGCCTCCCAAATACACCCGTCAACCAGTGAAAGGTGTATCAACACACGTAATGGCAAGTATCGTTTTTGGGGCGAGTCCGCTGAATGTCACGCCCCTGCTGGTTGTTCAAGGTCGGACACGTAAGTGGGTGATGAAGACACTGCCTCACCCGTAGATCCCCCGGGCTGCGTTTGGGGGGGGGGGGGAGAAGTTCCTGGGTGGTCACGCCATTCGATGGGAAACGTTCGAACTAAGGTATCCAGCTGGCTGGCTGTCTGAATGGTGTTAACATCGGGACACTGAGTTGGGGACTTGTGCCATAGAAACACAAAGATGGGATTTGTGCCATTAGAAAATATAATTTGGATAGTATATGAATAGACACGCGAGACTTGTGCCATTGAAACACAAAGATAGGATTTGTGCCATTAGAAAATATAATTTGGATAGTATATGAATAGACACGCGAGACTTGTGCCATTGAAACACAAAGATGGGATTTGTGCCATTAGAAAATTTAATTTAAATGCTACAGGAAAAGTCACATGGGACATTGGGAACAATGTGTGCCAATAGGATACATAATTGAGAAAAGGCACGAAAACAGAAGAGGGATATGAATGAGAATATAGAAAGTAGATATTCTGAAATCTTAGTTCAACTTGCTTTGTGATCACTAAAGTTAGATTCGCCTATTACATAATTTGGTTTCTATATTTTACGACAGGTTTTACATTATCAGGCGAAAAAAGGCCAAGGACAAGTACCTGTTATTCCCCCCCCCCCTTCTTCCGATGCTTATGTTGACCTGGAATTACGGGGCGGCATTCAAATTTTTATCCGTGTCACTTGTAAGACTATACTGCTGTGGTTGTTGTTAAGGGGTCGCGAATGTCGGGGTATTTTACAAGTATTCAGACCCCTTCTTAACCCGGGGAGATAAGCTGCCGCTGAGGGGCGTCTACCCAGCCCCCCCCCCCACCATTTCTTCTATCAACGCGCAGGTTTTTGTTACTAGCGTCGGCATGCTACTGTTTAGTTTCGAATCTTGATTCCCCCTTGCTTGTTGCATATATTCGATAGGCGGAGGATGGTTATGCTAGTAGCATTGTTATAAAAACATACGGATGAACGTTAAGATAAAAGACACAGATACTTTTAGCCTAACCTAGCTCGACAACTTCCTGAATTAATTTAAAAACTAAAGTCCACATATTTGTATTTTTATTTTGTTTTCGCCATTTTACTTTATTTATTTAAACTTTTCTCTAACCAATATTCAACGTTCCTAAGCAAAGATATGTTTTTTTTTTAAAACCCTAAGTGCCAAGATACCTGTAGTCACACCTCGTCAGTTCTACCTGTAATTTACCTCCGACAGACTCATTAGGGCCCTGTCACTTTGATGAACATGACTGCTGTTTTTATTGCTTTGATTATTAATTGATCTGTCTGGGTTAACATGCCAACCACCACTCCCCCAATTTTTCGTAACTTGAGGGTATGAAATATTTCGGTTTTACCCACGACATTTACACGTTACAGTATTTCACACCGCCTTAACATTCATCATTATTAGATATTATTAACATGTTGTATTAAAAATCCGGGACAACGTAGAGAATAAACAGTAAACCGAAGGATGCTTCTTCATTCTACATTAAGTGTTTTTGTATTGGAAAACTGAGAGTATTATTGCTCTTTCTGAACATGAGTAAGATTTTTGGTCAGTTAATTGCTCCATAAGTATTTCTCTTATGTTTTAATTTAGACATTCATAGCGTTGGCACATTATTTGTATAATGAATAAAGGCCCATCAATGTATTTTTTGTGTTCGCTGTATATGTATGAGTTGTCCATACTGTTTTAATGTTTATGACAGTTTATAAAGCAATAGTCTGTCAAGTGTTTGTTGACAAAAATGTGTGTTGGTATAAACTACTAACAACGCTAAAGTCCGGGTGTAAACCACAGCTGGTATTATGGCGGAATCGAATCTCAGCTGAGTTGGAAGCGACATTGACAACTACCATAAACAATATGCTAAGAGTCAGACTAAAACTTACACAGCTGTTTAAACCGTTAATATAAACACCCCCCCCACACACACACACATTTCCTTGTGTGTGCAGCATCTTATCCGAATGTATTTCTGAGTTATTTTAAAAACCATTCAGGTAAATAAGGATTATACCTGTTTAAAAAAAGTGTTATTTGCAACACGTGTGGCTAACCTGTTTCTCATTTTACAGGTCAGTGCGTCACGTGCGGGGATAAAGTGACGGGCGCCAACGAAGCGTGTCAGGCCATGGGGAATCTGTACCACACGAAGTGCTTTGTTTGCTGCTCTTGTGGTGAGTACCTTATCATTCCTCACTCAACCTTCAGCACCTACTCAACCCTCAGAACCTACTTACTCAGCCCTCAAAACCTACACACTCAACCCTCAAAACCTACGCACTCATCCCTCAGAACCTACGCACTCAACCCTCAGAACCTACTCACTCAGCCCTCAGAACCTACTCACTCAGCCCTCAGAACCTACTCACTCAACCCTCACAACCTACTCACTCAACCCTCAGAACCTACTCACTCAACCCTCAGAACCTACGCACTCAACCCTCAGAACCTACTCACTAAACCCTCAGAACCTACTCACTCAACCTCAGAACCTACTCACTCAACCCTCAGAACCTACTCACTCAACCCTCAGAACCTACTCACTCAACCCTCAGAACCTACTCACTCAACCCTCAGAACCTACTCACTCAACCATCACAACCTACTCACTCAACCCTCAGAACCTACTCACTCAACCCTCACAACCTACTCACTCAACCCTCAGAACCTACTCACTCAACCCTCAGAACCTACTCACTCAACCCTCAGAACCTACTCACTCAACCATCAGAACCTACGCACTCAACCCTCAGAACCTACTCACTCAACCCTCAGAACCTACTCACTCAACCCTCAGAACCTACTCACTCAACCCTCAGAACCTACTCACTCAACCCTCACAACCTACTCACTCAACCCTCACAACCTACTCACTCAACCCTCACAACCTAGTCACTCAACCCTCAGAACCTACTCACTCAACCCTCACAACCTACTCACTCAACCCTCACAACCTACTCACTCAACCCTCAGAACCTATTCACTCAACCCTCAGAACCTACTCACTCAACCCTCACAACCTACTCACTCAACCCTCACAACCTACTCACTGAACCCTCAGCACCCACTACTCAACAACCAGCGACTAAAAAGTGATATCGGGGGAAAAAATACTGATCAATCAGGACCATCACGATCAAGATGTCTATTACAGGTTTAATTAGTGAGCAACATAAACGACAAAGGGGGGGGGGGGGGGGGGAAAGATAGGCGGGCAGACAATTATTTTTTTTTTTTGGTGTAAATCTCTTTGTTTCTCTAGGCTCATTTGGCCAAGCTACTTAAATTTTATTTTTTAAAGCGCTTAATTAAAATAACTCCTATTTTAAACTCGCTAACGGTCTCCTGTGATGATGATCAAACTTGAATAAATCGCGAGTGTGGTTTTTCAGATTTTCAGATGTAGAGTATTACAGCCTGTTAAGTATTCATCTTTTTGAGTAATCATCGTTTATCATATTTTAACCATCTACTTTCACTCGTCCTTATATCCCATGTGATATTTATATCCCCTTTCCCCATTCTAGAACACCCATCATACATTACGTGCCTTGTTTCAGCTTATCCAGCATTAATCCAGCATTAATCCAACATCCCCTGTTTCCATATCCCACCCTAAAGATACTCCCATTGTTAGGAAATCCCCCCATACCAGATACATCCCTTGTTTTAATATTCCCATCCTGGCTATAATCCTCCCAAAAATCTGCCATTCCACGTGGGGTATGAGGTTAAAAATGTGGGAGAGGGGGAGGAGCTATGTAGCCGGAAGTACAAAAGCCCTGGGGAATGAGGCTGTCGATATTGGTGGCGCTCAGATTTTTGGAATATCGCCAAACTCTGCATCAGTGCTGATGTGTGGAGGACGTGTTCCATCCATCTTTAAGATGACTTTACCTTTACTTTTGGGATTGCATTACATTTAGGATGACTTTACCTTCAGGATGACTTTACTTTTGGGATGACTTTACCTGTGGGATGCCTTTACCTGTGGGATAACTTTACATTTGGGATGGCTTTACCTTTGTTATGACTTTACCTGTGGTATGACTTTACCTTTGGCATGACTACCTGTAGGATGACTTTACCTGTGGGATGACTTTACCGTTGATATGACTTTACCATTGATATGACTTTATTTTTAGGATGACTTAACTTTTGCTTTTGGGGTGACATAACCTTTTGGGTGACTTAACTATTAGGGTGGCTTTACTTTCGTGATGACTTCTAAAATTCTTACTTTCTCGCCCTGTGCCTCGGGTTAGAGATAACATTATTTAAAGTAAAACGCTGTGTCGAGATTGGTATAGTTATAAAAATAAAAAGACATTTAAAAAATTATAGCATGCTGTTTCCTGTTACTATAAGCGTTTTTTTTTTTCGCGCTGGTATTTCCGGTCTTTCGAGCAAGCACCAGCCGTGAAGTAATACCCGCCCCTTCTCCTAGCATTTCCAACTTTTTAACTAGATCCCCTTCCCCATGCTGATATGTAGACTGTGGCTTTGAATTATTGCTGTTGGTGCAATTTGTTTTCCGAAAAAACATTATAGTAATTCCTATAATGAAACTCATCTTAGAAAAAAGTTCATGTTAGAGTTAGGTTTCCAGACTAGAAAACTCTTGTTTCTGACAGTTTACGGTCTTCAGTGAAGTGACATGTCCCCACACACGCTAGAAGTTTAAATTCAGACAGGGGGTTCAAATAGGAAGTCACAAAAAGTTTTATGGAAACATGTTCTACAGCTGTTAAGTTGTAGGTAACACCCTCTGATAAATGCTGTAAGGCTCTCAGTGTTTCATATTGTAGTCCTCCATATATCAGCCCACAATCTCCCTCTCCGCAACACGCCTCAGCCTACATAAAAAGTGGTGCGTTGTTATTGTCGAAATGCTTGAAGTAGTCAGGAATAGCTTTAAATCGTAGAGCCCTCTGGGCCTCTTGCTAGCAGGTTTGATTATATGGCCCTCCCGGTCTTTCGGCTAGAGCCGGTAGATAACATTTCGCCTACCAAATGCCATTGTATTGTTATCGTCACTGCATGACATCTGACCTCAACAAGGTCGAATGTCAGCGTGGTACTGTGATTATAAAAATGATAAATTGTCGGCCCTCTATTTCACAGTTAATTTTTTTAGGGGGAGGGGGGGGGGGGGTGAAATTTTAGATAGTTGAGGTATTTGAAGTATTTTTAAAAATAGCAACGAGATTGGCATATTAGTTCCTGTTCCATTTGCAGTTACGCAGAAAAACAGTTCACAGAAACATGTTCGCGTGTATAGGTCGTCGCAAGCCACAACTGTATTCAAGTAAAATACAGGAAGTGGTTATTTAAATTGGGCACTTAGATTTACATTCGTTTGTTTATTTCGTTTGCCGTTAGTATCTATCTTTTTATGCTTTAGTCTTTTTTTTTTTAAAGTCGCAGCTAGAGCTATTTTTATGGTCATTGCCTACACACGTAACAATGTCCTACATTTTTAACAGGCCTACTTATTTATGGTTACAAATTGAACAAAGTATTTAATCAGACACTATTGGGTCTTGGGTACTAAGTCTTGGAATTTCGTGACTGGAAAACCAGAACTATTTATAGAAAGAAAAAACGGGTTGTAGTAATGTTTCTTTGTTTCTATTTTGTGTTTGTTTGAATGTCCCATTTACATTTTCTCCCTACATTAAAGCTCGGCTATACACGACGAATTCACACTCATCCTCCATGTTATGTGTGTTTATTTCATCTAAATTAATGTATCAGCTAAATATTATCCCTAAATTTAGTGTCCTTGTATTGTCCAGTCCGGGCCGACCCGCTCCACTCTCCCCTAATGATCGCAACCAGATCACCTCGACCTAGACAATGCAGATTTTTATCTCTCGCCTGGGCGCTCGCGTAATGCTGGCTGTGTTATCGGATGCTTTAGAACAGATTTCTCATTGCTCGTGGCTCTCTGCCAAGACGCGGCCATCCAATATTATAATTCACAATAATAAACGCAATTATCAGATCACTTGGAAATATCGTTATTCACAGTAATTCTAAACTGGTCATTAAAAAAAAACACGTATCTTGTAATATGACAAATTTGACATTAATTTATGTTTATTTCCTCTTATATATTTTTTGTTCTTATCTGATAAACGTAATCAATAAATTCAAGTGTATTAATCGACCCATTTGAGTACAGGCACTTAGGAATATTAACAAGTTGGCTATGGTTCGGTTTTAAAAAAAAGACAATCAAGTGCTAATTATACATTTTATATAGCACATGACGACACTCGGCCAGCCTCGGTTAAACAGTTCAAAATCATTATTATCGGTTATTATCACGTAAAGTAGCAATCAGCATTTTTTGTCAGTGAAGAATTCCACTTATCAGGATATAAATAGATGATCAAATATTATTTCCTTTGATGTTTTTTTTATTATGTAACAGATAAATGTTAACCCTCTATTTAGTTATTTATATTATTACCTTAAAATATATACAATATAGTTAGGGCGTAACAATGTAATTATTTATCGTGTAATCACTATATCTCGATTTATTTTCGTCGCTTGTTTCATCCTCGGCATTATGATTCATCCTGGATCGGACTTTTTTTTAGAGCATTCGTGCTCGCCGTATAAATTATATTATTCAATATCCATATAGTAGGACCGAGCCAACGCCCTTTTATTCCTGTGTAGATTGTAATGCTGATCTACTGCTGTCGTCACGAATGACGATAGATAAATGCAAATCAGTCAGGCCATGGTTCACATTGCTACTGCTTATGGTGCAACTAATTTAGAGAATGTTCGAGAACGTAGTGTTATTTAAAAAAAAATTCATCTCTTTAAAGTCTTATTTTAATAAGATTGTTTAAAAGAGTAAATAATTACAATTTCCCCTCTTTATATTTTTTCCCTGTAATTTTCTAAATAAAATGTGTCTTTCGAGGCACGGGAAATTAACGGCCACTCGTTTGATTTATCCTCTGGGATGGAGGTCCCTGAACACACCCCTATCATAAAGCTTCATCTCTCGAGCTTTATCTGAGGGAAAAAATTGTAGCATCACATTCCCCTTCCTAAATCTTCAAAGTAAAAAACGCGCTTCTTACGACCCATTTCCCCCTCCCCTACCCTAACTCAAAGTAACTATTATACAAAAACTTTCGTTTCCTCT